GACTGCCCATTTTTGAAAACCCACATACACAAGTAAACCCAGCATTAATGTTTTTGTACTGTATGCATGTTTGTGTGTGCGTGTAGCATATAGCATCTCTATTTCCAGATGATATGGATCGAATCCGTAGGATGTCTTTGATTGAGGAGGTAGAGGGAAAGAAAGTGAACATGGCTCATCTCTGCATCGTGGGCTCACACAAGGTCAATGGAGTTGCTGAGATCCACTCAGACATCATCAAAAGAGACGTGTAGGGCTTTCTCTTTCTTTCTCACTCACTCACTCACACACAATCCTACATCCCATCGCTGATTATTTTGAATGTAATGATGTAGATTTCGAGACTTCAGCGAGCTGGAACCAGACAAATTTCAGAATAAAACAAACGGCATCACGCCACGACGCTGGCTGCTCCTCTGCAATCCAGGACTCGCGGATCTCATCGCAGAGGTCCGACACACGTACACATTTGTTTTTCTCTTTTTATAACATATTTTTTCAATTCATTTCATGTTTTTTTATTGTGTGTGTGCGTGTTTGTAGGCTATCGGTGAAGAGTATGTAAAAGATCTGACTGCGCTGCAGAAGCTGAATGATCTGGTTGACGATGACGCCTTCATCCGAGATGTAGCCAAAGTCAAACAGGTCAAAATGCACACTCCTCTCATATCAATGCATTTGTAAATCTTATCTATGTAGATTTTAATGGCCAAATTGGACTGTTTAACTGCTTATCACTGGGGCAGTCCCCTTTAGGGCCACTTAGCTACCCCTAAAAAGTGCATATTAGAGTGATATGTAGTCTTTCTGCCCTAGTGACAAGCTGTTTCTGTGGGGATTACTGACTCTGATGAATGGTATTATTCTTAAAATGTGGTGATTTCAATTCAAAGTCAGTTGCAGTTAATTTTTATGTTTCTGTGTGTAGGATAACAAGGTGAAGTTTGCACAGTATTTAGAGAAAGAGTACAACGTGGATGTAAATCCTGCATCCATGTTTGACGTCCATGTGAAAAGGATACATGAATACAAACGACAACTTCTCAATTGCCTCCATGTCATCACTATGTACAACCGTATGTACACACACTTGCACACTTTCTAACAGCTAAAGTGTATTTTTTTTGGGATGTTTTTCGACAAATATTCTCTCACGTAGAAGTAAACAATGAAATTCTGCCATTATTTACTGTCTTTGATTAAGATTGAAGAATTTTTCAACTGTTTTACACACAGGAATCAAGAAGAGCCCCACGAAACCGTTTGTGCCGCGGACTGTGATTATCGGGGGCAAGGTAAAACAAACAACCTTTTCCAGACACACTCACATGCACTGATTTGCAATATGTACTCTACAAAGTGAAAAAGTGACAGTAATATTGGGAAATAATATTATCGCAATAGTTTTCTATTCGAATATATTTTAAAATGTAATATATTCCTGTGATTGTAAAGCTGAATTTTCAGCTTCATTATTCCAGTCTTCAGTGTCCCATGATCCTCCAGAAATCATTCTGATATGCTGATTTGGTGCAACTGTGTGAAAACTGTTTTGCTGCTGAATGTTTTTGTGGAAAACCACACTGTAAAAAAAATATTTTCAAGATTTGTTATCACAACATTTTTTTCTTTTTTAAAATCAACTTAAATAATTTATTTAGTTGAACTTATTATTTTGAGTTTCTGATGATTAAATTAATCTCCTTCATTGTAATAACTCACTTTTTCCAGTTCAATCAACTTAAAATTTTAAGGCAACCAGGTTACTTAATTTAAGTTAAACCAACAATTTTTTTACAGTGCATAATAGATTATTTATATAATTATTTTTTGATAAATAAAAAGTTCAAAAGAACAGTATTTATTTGAAATATAATTTGTTTGTATCATTATAAATTATCACTTCTAATCAATTTAATGCATACTTGCTAAATAAAAGTTATTTTAAAAATTTTTTTAAAAAAACATTTTGAATGGCAAGTTTTAATATGCTTGTTTCTGCAGGCTGCTCCTGGATATCACATGGCAAAGATGATCATTAAGTTGATCACCACTGTCGCTGATGTCATCAATAACGATCCTGTGATTGGCCGTAAACTGAAGGTCATTTACCTGGAGAACTACAGAGTGTCACTGGCAGAGAAGGGTAACTACGGTTTAATAACTAAACTGGGTATGGTATTTTCTGTGTATTAATGCATAAATCCCTGTTCATCTCTGTTTTATGTGCAGTGATCCCAGCTACAGACCTGTCGGAGCAGATCTCCACCGCGGGTACGGAGGCGTCCGGAACCGGAAACATGAAGTTCATGCTGAATGGGGCGCTGACCATTGGCACAATGGATGGTGCCAACGTGGAAATGGCAGAAGAAGCTGGAGAAGAAAACCTCTTCATCTTCGGCATGAGGGTGGAAGATGTAGCAGAGATGGATAAAAAAGGGTAGAGAATGAGACAGAGAGATTAAATCGATGGAAATGGATGCTGAGTAAATATCATTCAATCTTTGTGCTTGTGTGAAGACATTAACCATTCCTTTGTGTGTGTGTGCAGCTATGATGCATTACAATATTATGAGAATCTTCCGGAGCTGAAACAGGCCATAAATCAGATTAAAAGTGGCTATTTTTCACCGAAACAGCCTGAGATGTTCAGCGACATCATCAACATGCTGTTCTATCATGATCGGTAAAACCCACATGCAGACACATTTTTTTTTTTTTTTTTTTTTTACTCCTACATTACTTTCTCATCACTCAGAATTTTTTCTCCAGGTTTAAGGTTTTCGCAGACTACGAGTCTTACGTCAAGTGTCAAGAGAAAGTCAGCTCTCTGTATAAGGTGAACATTACCACATAAACATTTCATACATTTCAACATTCATTTCATAAGTTATAGCGGCTTTTGAATACAGCTTAATGAAGCTTCAAAATCTTGGAGAATCTTTTGTTTTTAATCAGTGGTTCGGAGCACGTATCAAACTGGAATAATGACATTATCATTATTGAGTAAACCTTTATTATCATTATTCATTATTTACATAACTCAATATTTAATGTATGGACTCTGTTCATCAATTTCCAACCCCAAGCTATTTTTTTCTGTGAAACGCAAAAGGAAAAATTTTGATTTAAGAGTCATTACACAGCTTATTTCTACGTTGCACCAGGTCAAAGTGACCATTGATGTCAAGCTCTAGTAAATTACAAAGACTCTAAACTGGTCCATATTTCTCCGTCTACAGGATCCGAGAGAGTGGACTCGGGTGGTAATTAAGAACATTGCGGCCTCTGGAAAGTTCTCGAGCGACCGCACCATTACAGACTATGCCACTGAGATCTGGGGAGTGGAGCCCACTGACCTGAAGATCCCTCCTCCCAGTGAACCACGTGAAGCTCTGGAGGAAACCGCACGCGCCTTGCGCAAGATCTGAACACGTCTGTGCAGTTATAGAATCGTGAGAGGACTTGTTAGAAGGGTAAATTAATTACTTGGTATGAATACATTTTCCAGTTTTGCTTTCAGTTTTTAAATATTCATGCATGATTGTATGATGATCATGAATGGATTGTACTAGCAAAGAGATAAAATAAAAATTATGTTTTAATTCAACATTGAAGTCAAATTATTCATATAATAACTATCAGTCAATATATTGATTTTAGGTATATTGGTGGAGAGTGATGAGAGGCAGAAGACAAAGAGTTGCACTTAGAACATTAATAGTACAAAAGAAAAGTTTCACTGAAGAGCAAGCTTGTGGGATGTATTTCAAGGAACATAAAATGTTCCTTAATGAATACACTGTAAGCATCTAACAAATAAATACACTATTGAATACTATGGGATTCATTGATAAAAAGGAGAGTAAAAACTTTTTCATTGTTATAAAAATTATATTTCAAATAAATGCTTTTCAAATCTTTAATCTTGGAAAAAAAAGTATCACCGTTTACACACAAAACATTAAAGTTCCCCTGTAGTCAATAATTTTACCATTAAAATTCATCTTTGATTGCATATCTAAGCGAATTAATGAATATGCAAATGAGCACGGACTGCACTCCCACAGGCTTCTCTACAAGTCAATATATCATAATGGTTAATGTGTTTTGTATCGCTCTTTACAACGTTGGATAACAATGCATAGTGGTAATTGATATTATTAACCTTTGTCTTTTGACTATGTTATCAAACAGCTAATAATGTGTTGCAAATTTTACACAAACCATGTTCCCATTTTATTTCATTTAATTTACAGAAAAATATACCGGGATAACCTAGCTTCTCTTGAGATTGCCCTGCTTCAGAGAATAGTTAAAGATATATTTTTTTTTTTAATTAAACAAATATAACGCAAATAGAATAGTTAATGATATGCTTAAGCCCGCCTCCCTGGTCGTGACGTGATTGGTTACAAGGTATTTTGTTTGTGACATAAGAAACACCAACGATTCCAAAACCGCTTTGCTGACTGTCTTTTTTTCACTGCTGTTTTATGGAGAAAATATTCAGCAATGGTGTTGACTGTTGACTGATGAATTTGTGCATGGCTTGTCTTAAAGCATTTAAAACATCCCATAGACATATAAACAACATTGATTTTCACCACAGGGGGACATTAAGCAAAACACAACAAGAAATGTAACTCAAGAGTTGCAATCACAAGAATAAATTAGATTTTAAAACTACAAAATTTATTTTAAGTTGTATTTATATTTCACATTGTTCCTTTTATTACTGTATTTTATTAAATACAGTAATAAATAAATAAATAAATAGTATTTTATTTAGTATCTAATAATAAATAGTATTTTATTTATTATTTTATTAAATAATTACAGCCTTGGTAAGAGACTTTTTTTTCAGACAAATTAAATAATTTCACCTACCCCCAAATTAGACTGAATTGGATTTGACAATGATTACTCAAAAAAAAAAAAAAAAAAAAAAAAAGCTAATAAATCTTCATAGTATTGAATGCGAGAAAATGATGCGAGAATGAGAAAATAAAGAGAAAAAATAAAGAGAACTCGTCTAGGTCTTCACTCAACCGGTGTTGTAGTTCCTTCACTGTCATCCTGGTGGCGCTGTTGCGCGCTGTGTTTCTGCTCGTCTCCTCCTCTTCCTCCTGCAGGGCCTTTCAAAATCTCCCTGACCAACCCACTATAACAGACAATGTAGCACGCTGACCCGAGCACTCAGCAGAAATACAATTCATCCACAGCTTTAGCCCCGGTATTAGATCCAAACACTAGCAGAACGGTTCAGTTTGAGTGCGAGCACTGGATCAAACTAATGGACTTCTAGCCGAACGGAGAGAGAGAGAGCGCGCTTATCTTTGGTACCGCCGGGTATGTTCTGATGGATTTAACTTTAACTTAATCATCAGACACAAATCACACTCATCTCACTCCTAACATATTCATGCATTCATTTTGTACATTGTCTCCTACATAATGGTTTATTGAGCTTGTGACGTAATATGAGTTGGTGATTAATTTGTGTCTGACAAGTTGAAGTTCAGAACTTTGTATGTATCTTCTACATACACAGATTTCTATTATTATTTTCTTACACCACAAATCAACCTGACAGTAAATGTTGGGTAATTTAAGTGTTTATGTAGGCTTTAAATCAGTGGCAGTGATCTTTGGTTTTTGTTTAATGGCGTGTTTGTGTATTTAATGTTGCTGTGTGTCTTTATGTTGCTAATAGTTACTGTTATGGACTGATGACCTCAATCATCTGAGATTGCAGAACTGTAGACATGTGATGATGAGGGAAGTTGGTTTTCAACAGGTTGTTGTGTCATTGTTTTAAAACAACTAATTGTTTAAAAGTTTAAAAGTGGAAACAGAATTAGACACCACTAATACCCAGTGAGTTTTCTGTCCTCCGCTGAATCACTCCTTCTGTCTCTGATGTGTGTCTGTTGTCTTCCTTTGTGTCTGTTTCACTTGCATAATGCTGAAATCTCAGATTTTTTTTATCCAGTTTTACTGGATTCACAATGAGCTGGGCTCATATCACTTTTAGATATTAATTTCTAATAACTAATATTTAATATTATACCTAACATTTGAAAAATTTCTCAGATGTATCATATTCTATTCTCTTATCCTGTTCTAGCTCTATGAGACCTGTTGCTATCAGATACCAGAGCTTCAATTGGTGCCGCTCACTGAGGGCAAACAAAGCAGACTTTTACATATATTTTCTAGTAATGAGATGATTTTAAATGATTTAAAATGTATTCTTACAGTACAATTTTTACTTGTGCATTATTTGCTGGGAGAATGGTTCCCATGGTCATTAAAAAAACTGCAAAAATTGGGATTTTCAGACCTGGAAATATCATAATTTGCATTTAAAATGAAATTATTTAATACAATTTTAGAATTCATAGTTTTAAGATATCCATTTGATTTGTCCCAATTATGCTCAGTGTAAAAATGTATTAATGTTTGCTAAAAAAAATAATAATAATATTTTTGATTACAATCTCAGTAAAAATAAATATGAAATAAATGCAAAAAAATAAAATGTAAAAAATCCAATTATCACAAATTCATTGGTTGAAAACTGTGGTTACCCTGTTTGCAGCTTTAATATTTCAAATTAATCTGGTATTAAACATTACAGCTATAATCGTTCAGACTGAGATTGAAAAGTATTTGATCGATGCTGTACATTTTATATGGTTAGAAATAAATTTCACCTGAAAATCAATTCCAAATATTTTACCTCATCCATATCTGAATCTATTCTTCCTGAATAGAGGAACACCTGGCTACTCTCAGACATCCTTGTAAGGGGCTGGTGATGTCATTGGCAAGGAGCAGATGGGCACCAAACACCCCTTTTGTGTGTGTGTGTGTGTGTGTGTGTGTGCACACCATCCACTGAAGAATAAGAAATGCATACACACACTTACAGCCTATGCTTGTAAGCCTTTCAAAAGTGTCAGGGCACCTTAGGACAAAAGACAACCACTGCAGTTGTTGATTGTGTTTAGGGCGGCACAATAAAAATAATAATAATTAAATAATATCTAAATTCAATAAATAATAAATTCTATAAAAATGCAATAACTTGTTAAATTATGCAATATGATCCTTTACTTGTGTAAAAGAAATGTAAATTATATTAAAAAACTTAAAAAGATTAACGAACATACATGTTTCACATTCTTTTTTTGTGAGGGGAAAGCCACCCTACAACTTCTGAAAGTGAATAGCAGTGTTTTACTGTAGCATTACATAAAAAGTAAGTGTCATTTTACCGTCAGTGTAAACCAGGGGGGTTGTTTAGGGTTTCAGGTAGGCCTACATTAGGTTTATTTAACAACAGATATTGAATAATCAAACGTAAAAATAAAGCACTGCTTAGTCTTCACTGTATGAAATGTATAGTAATTCTTAGTCGATTCCAAAAACACGGAATTGAACACCCATACTGAGTACTCGCCAAGATTGAGTTTTAATTATGTCTATCTATATGTCTACGTGTATTTGTATGTCTACGTATATTTCTACGTGACCTTGCACTTGCACTTTGTTTTTGTAATCTTTTGGAGTATTAAAATCATGCAGTTATTGCAAGCTGTTGCGATATGCAAATTTGCAATATTTCAAATTCAATATATCATGCACCCCTGCTTGTGTTCATCATCTCAGTAGTTATAACTTGTGTGTCCTGACATTGGCCTCTCTCATCTGTGCACTCTGCATTTAGCTCACAGATCTCTTCTCTTCCTGAGCGGATGGATTTTGTGTGTCAGAAATAGTGCTGTAGGTCTGTATGCTCTCCATTTTTGTGGATCAAGCTTAAATGTTCCCTTTGGATCTTATACATACGCAAGCATGTGCTTGCATTGAGTAAAACTTGTATGCAAACAACCATTGCAATTTTAATCTGTCCAGTCGTGGTTATTTTGGAGACATTTGCAAAGTAGCAGGTATTAGGGACGTCTCTAATAAACTGATTATAATTTTCTTGTTATGGCTGATTATTAAAATTGTCTAAATAAATAACAAATAAAATACTAAAAATTTAAATCAGTTTTGAATTTTTTAGTCATCTCAACATAATTTTAAGTATTAAAAAATGGATATTAATTTTAAGATTTGTGCAAAATTACATTTAACAGTGTTAATTAGTGTTTTTAAAAATGAACATGATTATTCATTTTTTGTTAGATCATGGCAAAAGTAGTGTTTATTTATTTATTTTATTGTAATAATATTGTCAGATAATTGAAATGGTACTGATTTATTACACATCCCCTTATGTACACCTATTAATTCAAAAGAATGGTACCTGACATGAAAATTAGCCCGGAGTTTCTAAATGCTCCTTATCCTTCTGACCGACTAAAAGGTTTAGGAAATCCATTAGTCAAGTCTGGGAACGTTCGTTGTTTGAGTTTACAAGAGCTCTGCGGTTATGAAAGCTGTAGTCCTTTAATGGCTCAAATCCAATACAGCCTCTCTGGTAGAAGTGACCAGAGTGCGTCAGGCACTTGCGTTTGAGCTCGTCGTTCTTCTTGTCCATTTTTCCTTTGGTTTCTGATGGCTCTTTTTGCATCCTTGTGTTTTGAACAGGAAGACATTGGAGTTATTGTGAGTGTGGAGGTGAACTGTCTGATTAAATAAGCCAAATGTCAGTGGGCAGAATGTGTAACTCTGTGTGTCTGTAGGAAAGGCTGATGGATGGAGCGAGGGACCAGTATGAGGAACGATTGAAAGAGGTGTTCGAAAGTTTTGATGGCAGTGGTTTGGGATCTCTGAGTCCTGAAGAACTGACCGATCTCTGCCGGGCCCTTCAGCTGGAGGAGAACACACTAAACACACTCTTACACACACTGCTGCAGGACCAGATCAGTGCACGGGTAAGAGAACATGCGTATTTTAGTTTAGTTAAATTTTTTTTTTGTGTGTGATCTTGTTTTGTTTTTTTAATGCTGAGACGTTTAATACTGTTAATGGTCGGGCATTTGAGTGTGGATTACATTTCAGAAACTTTGTATTTTGTACTTTTCTAGAGTATCTAAAACAAGAAGCTTTATAGACTTGGATGAATAGAGGAGAGGTTTATTGTTACTTTTTTATTTTTCAGGTTGATTTTGAACAGTTTAAGGATGTGCTGATCCTCGTGTTGTCAAGTACAAACACAGATGATCCAGAAGAATGTCTTGAACGGCCAGGTAACGTTCTCATAATGTCGCTTATTATGTTAAAAACTGGGCTGGTAACCAAAATAATGCAGGTTTGAATCGTGTAATGGTAATTTTGAATGGACATCATTGCTTCATTGATTACTGAACTTCATTGATCATTTTAAATGTTTGGCATCAGCAATAATTATTGAACTCTAAATATATATTGGTCATTGGATACACAGCTGTCTAGATACTGGCATTAGTATTTAAGATTTAAACTCCATTTTCAAGCATTCATTATCTAACATGCTGCAATAAATATTTAGGCTACCTGTATGGAAATAAATATCTGTTAAAGGGATACTCGAATCCATGCAGCTGATGTTCTGATATTTAGAAGAATATCAGTAACCAGACAGTTTCTGTTCCCATTGACTTCCATAGTAGGAAAAAAATATACTATGGAAGTCAATTAGAACAGAAACTGTCTGGTTACTGATATTCTTCTAAATATCAGAAAATCGGCTGAATGGATTCAAAAATGGTAAAACTCAACTGTTTAATTCTGAGGGAGTTGTAAAATGAGCATATTTCCAAAAAAAGTGGAGTATCCCTTTAAGGTATAATATAGGCTCTTTGTGTTTGCCGCCATTTATTCTTGAGTCTGCTTTATTTATGACTATTGTATGAGACTATTTTACAAAATTAAATAAGATATATTTTGACTATTTACTTTACCTTGAAACTGCAGGTTGTGATCGAACTCAGTGCTCAGTGTTTGGATATCCTGATGTCACCGAGGATGTATTAAAAGCCAGACAGCGGGAGCTCAGGGAGTAAATAGGGAGGATGTAAGGTTAAATCTGGATTAAGGATTATTCTGAGAGCAGTGAGAGTGTAAATGAAGACTATTCTATCTTAAAACAAGCTCTTCTCTTAATTATGAAATTCACAGTTAATGATGGTAGTCCTGACTTTGCTATGTGGTTCCTATGGTGTTTTTAGAACATTGGGTGGTTGCTAAGTGGTTTATTATTGGCCCTCACCGTTTCCAAGTCTTTATGATATTCGTCTCCTTAAAAGTCAGAATTTTTTGGAAAGAAATAATACTTTTAATCAAGTATGCATTAAATTGATCAAAACTGACAGTAAAGACTATTACAAAAGATTTCAAGTAAATTCTGTTCATCAACGTTGCGTTCCATTCGAAGTATTGACAAAAATGAACCGTTTTCAACATTGATAATAATAAATGTAATGTAAGTAAATGTTTCTTGAGGACCAAATCAGCATAGAATAATTTCTGACTTAGTGATCCCTTGTGCAAATGTTGCGAAAGACTGTTAGATTTTACTGTGCTGAGATGTATTAATGTTGCAAGAATCCTTTTGTCTCTCCCCTAGATTCCCCAGAAGTCCAGCCACGCTTTGTCAAGGGCAGTAAGCGCTATGGCCGTCGCACTGCTCCGGAGTTCATTCACGCACACACCGATTCACACACACAGGCTGAAGATGAGGAGGAGAAGGATGAAGATGCTCAAGAGAGCGACGACAGGACTGTACCCAGGAAACGTGAGGTAACAAACAGACGTGAAGAACGGTGAAGGTTAAGGCACATTCTTCTCGTTCGGAATCATCCATATCTGAACACGCAGATAAGATGAAGGTTAAAGTTGTGAGTCTCCTTGAGGAAAACTTTCAAATTATTTCCGTCGCAAATTTTGAACTAGCTCTGAAAAAGCAGAAACACACTGTGTATGTGTGTCTTTGCCCTATGCTCTGACAGCAGGTCAGTGTGACACTGAATTAATTCGATTTTAGAGTCTTAGAAGACATCCCACTGGCTTTAAAGCACTCAAACTAACCTTATCTATTCCTGCTGGCGTGTGTTTTGTGAGCTTTTGTGTGTGACTCTGGCCACGCTCTCCAGCAGGTGCACATTAATACACACTGCTGCGCAGAGCTCTCTCTCTGATATTCTGGTGTGTGAACAATCCTCCGGTTCTATGATAGCAGATGTGCGGGGTGTGTGTTTGGAGGGGGGTGGGTGTCTATTGATGAACAATGACCCCTCCCCTACCCCCTGAATTCCATTGCAAGTATTCTCCATCTGCTCCCTACACCCCACAAAATTCACCCTGTCCATATCTGAACAGGCACACAATGATCTTGACTAAACAACAGGGAAATAATTGATTGAGCGGCTGTGTATTAATACATTTCTTTACTTATTTTTTTACTTGGTTATTCATTATTGAGTTATTTTATATAATATAATGTTTTGAAGAGTCATTTAAGCTCACCCTGGCTGCATTTATTTGATCAAAAATGCATTAAAAAATTAATATTGTGAAATATTATTACCATTTAAAATAATAGCTATTTTAATACATTTTGGCCAAACTTATTTTTTTCAGCATCATTACTCCAGTCTTCAGTGTCACATGATCCTTCAGAAATCATTCTAATATATGCTGATTTGGTGCTCAAGATCTTTTTAGCTTTTTTTAAAACAAAGTCTTAAACAGTTATGTCGCTTAATGTTTTTGTAGAAACTGTGATTCTTTTTTTTTCAGTGATCTTTTAATAAAAAGTTAAAAAATAGATTTTATTGTAACCATACGAATGACTTTACTGTCACTTTTGATAAGTGTTTTGAAAAGTGTAATCCTTGCCGTATAAAATGCATTATTTCTTTTAAAGAAAAAAATCATACTGTCCCCAAACTTTTAAACGGTAGTGTTTTTATGTACATTATTAAATTCCTGCCTGTATAGATATTGTTCCACACATTGCTTAGTTGATAACTGAAGGCATTTGTTTTGACATTGATGGAGTCAAATTAAATTAGTAATGTGACCGTTAACACCCCTCCTTATTTATTCACCATTTTAACATCTTCTGTCTCGTTGTTGCTTAGTACTGCCCCCTCCTGGGAGTGTGATGATAACAACAGTTTTTCATTTGTGCATTTTATTTTTGTTTTCATTATAGCGCTGGAATGCTGAGATGAGCATTTCTGAAGAGTTTGAAGCAGAAGGTAAGGTTAAATACTCTCAACCCCCCCAGACATCTTCCTTTATGCCAGAGATTTACACTGGTTTTTGTGCAGGTCAGATGCACCTCTGGAACCCTGATGAACCCAGTACACCCCGAGGCAAAGCAGTGCCACTCTGTGACTTGGAGGAGCGTTTGCAGAATGCCTGTCATCAGCTCTCTCTACCCCTAAATGGCATGGCCACACTGAAACAGCTACACGCACTCTGTCAGCGCATTGGCATTGAGGTATTTTCCATCATCACAACCTGAGGGTTAAGGGCCCTATTTTAATGATCTAAGCATAAGCGCATGACGCAAGTGTGTGCCCGAATCCACTTTTGTTAGTTTAAAGGGATAGCTCACTTTGAAATTAATTTTTGATATGTTTTAGCTTACCTCAAGGACATCCAAGATGTAGGTGTTTTTGTTTCCACAGTATTTTCAATTTTGATATTTTTCGGTCAAACCGTTGTTGTCTGTCAGTCATATAATGGAGGTTTATGGGGTTCACCTCAAAGAGCATGCACAGAGAAGTCCAAATTAAACATGATTTAATGACTCGTAAATGTAAGTACACATTGATGGCCTAAGACGCGAAACGAGTGGTTTGTGTGAGAAAACGAACAGTATTTATATCGTTTTTACCTCTTGTAACCACAGCCACGTCCAAGTGATCTGAAGGCACTGGCGCTTCGGTCTGTGCAAGCGCCGGAAGTGATCTCTTACGCGGTTGCGAAAAAAAAAAATCAACGTTGTCTGTTGATATATCGAAATTTCACCGGATGTATGATAGAGCCCTAAGTGGTTAAATACCATATTAACATGCAGTTCCTGTGTTTTTGAATGTTCCCAGGTGGATGAGGATCTGTTGCAGGGTGCTGATGAAAGTGTAATGGGTGTGCAGGAGTTCATCTCATGCATAATAAACCACAGCAAACCACCCACACCGTCAGTATCTACACCCTACAGACAATTAAAGAGACACCATTCTACTCAGGTAGTACACAAAAATAGGTTGTCCGCAAAACATGGCTGAATATAATAGTTTAACCTCTTTTCTCCATCTCTCTCTCTCTCTCTTTCAAGTTTGATGAGTCAGGCCGAAGGATCTCCTGTGCTTTGAGCAGTACAATTGGTGTGCAGGTGTTTTCAGATTTGGATGATGGATCGGGACACGCTCCTGTGGAAACTCTGCTTTTCCGGTGGATGGAAGAGGGAGTGGACAATAGCTCTGAAATCCTACAGGTAAAACACATAGACGTTGTGCATTTACACAACTCTACGTTTAATCTGGGATATTCATAACAAGATTTTATGTGTGTGTCTGTCTGTAGGCTCTGGATTTTAATCTGGAAGGTAAAGTGAATCTGTGTGAGCTGACCGTTGCTCTAGAGAATGAGCTGCTGAGCACTAAGAACTCGATCCACCAAGCGGCGCTAGTGAGCTTTAAGGCAGAAATCAGACATCTGCTGTGAGTCCATGTATTTGAACTCTAGCTCATTCCAACTCTCACAGCTCACTCAAGCTTGGTCTAGATTTATCCAGCATACTACTGCATGATTCATATTACTAATTTGTATGATCATCGTAATAATCATTCATTAAATCCAACTCGTATGCTAACTCACGCCAGCTCATTACTCTAATCATCACTCTAGAGCACTGTAGCCATTCATTTCTGCATCATTCTAGATCAGTTTGTTAATCACACTTACTCTAGCTCATTCTAGATCAGTGGTTCAACCAGGAGGCTTCAGCACAATTTCAAGGGGGCCACAAGATGGATTTAAATGATTTAAGCCTGAATTCCGTAACTTTTTTTTTTTTTGGGTTCAAATATTCACTTTGTTTTTTGAGCAAATATATTACCAGCCAGTGTTCAAAACTCTCTGCTTGCCTTAGCTCGATTCAAAGCGGTAAGTTTGTAATACAGTTTTTAATTCCAGTGGTGCTGGTGGATTTCCACGGGATGAGTCTTTGCGTCAAATCTGTACACATAAAGGAGTCTCGGCTAGTAGGCTATTTTGCGTGTGAGGATGCTGGAGGTGGAGATTTATAGCCTTTTCTCACAGCACTTGATATAATTAAACTTATCAATTTGATGGCGGATCCAGAAAGGTTCAAACAACAATCACCAGTGACAACTATAGATTCACCCATTGTAAAATGCAAAAGAGACTGCAACCAGACCCATGCAAAAACCAGGATAATATCGGAAGGGCATTAAATGTAGTCACGCAATGCTGATGTTGTTAACATTAACAATTTGAGAAGAAAGTATAGTTTGCACGTTTTGACATGATATGATAAGCAATCTTTAGATTTAATCAGCGTGATTTACTGCGATGCTTTTTTTTTTCTTTTCCCTTAGTTGGTCAGAGCAAAAGTGATTCATTCTTGTTCAGATGAACTCTTGAATTTTCTGGTGAAAATTATTATCTGTGATTCTGAATGCTAGTATCCACACCGGCGCGGTGACTGACAGCCTCAGTCTCCTCAAACATTGTGTTCATCCGTGCTGTGCCGTGCCGGGGCACAACCCACGTAAAATTTATAATTCCGAATTGCAGATTTCGAACAGAGATAGCTATAAAGAGGCAAAACTATGGACTGCAGCTTAAAAATGAGACAAAATATATTTTAAAATTAGGTAAAATAGCAGCAACAACAAAAATTTCTCATTTTAATGTATTACCTCAACAACTATCATTTTATTTGAAAATCAGGATTCCCACAGTCAAAAAATTTTTTTTTTTAAAAAGTGTAATTTTAAATCTGGAAGCATTATTAAAAATGAATAAAATATTTTTGTAGTTATGTTGAGCTGTTTTTATTTCTAGTACTACTAATAATAAACCTATTAAAAATCACTGAAAAAAAAATTCTGGACAATGAATTTATGTAATTCGAGTCGAGTGCTTAATTCTAATAATGAGAGGGGACTATTAATTAATGTGTATTCTGTTTAATCCATTGCTTCACTCACTCCAGTAAAAGAGTGTGTATGTACAGTCTCAAGCCAGAGATGGGATGGAAAATTTCAGCCCTGGAGAGTCACTGTCCCATAGAGTTTATCTCCAACCCCGATAAAAACTTAAATCCCTGTAGCTTTCTAGCAATCCTAAAGACCTTGATTATCTTGTTCAGGTGTGTTTGATTAGGGTTGGAGCTTAACTCTGTAGGACAGTCCCCCTCCAGGACCGAAGTCACCCAGCCCTGGTCTAGAGTGCGCATATTTCATTTTGGACCCATTCCAGATCTCTTCATTTAATTCAGACTCACTCCAGATCACTTCAGTTTTGTTAGTTTGAATCAAGCTTATTGTTTTCTCTTCTTCTAAATTGTTATTCTGCCTAAATCCATGTCCTTATTCATATTTACTTCACACACTCAGCGTCACTCCAGTTGATTAAGACTCTTTTTTTTAAATTGTCTTTATGTCTACATCAATCTATCTCATTATTCAGATTCACTCAAGATCATTTAAAAATCATCAGAGCTCCAGATTGCTTCTAATGTCATACTTCTTTACTGTGACAGTGAGTGTGTTGACCTGGAAAGACGTGAGAAGGAAAGGATCCGCTTTGATCTGGACAAAGCAGAGAAGCTGAAATCTCAGCTGGCGTCAGAAGTGGACGACCACCACGCTGCCATCGAACGCAACAACGAACTTAACCTCCGGTAACATTTCACTTTCAATAATTTCATAACTGAACCATCTTACTCCGTTTAAATGCAGAAATCCCTTAAAGATTTCAAATTTTCCAATCTCTTCTCTGCATATCATCTGTGATGTGACATTTTCTTTGACAGTAGCTTTGTTTACCTGCAGTCAGAGATTGCTGCATAAACATAGAAGGCCTGTTCTGTGGACATTGATGATCTGTGCATGTGGGTGTGACGTGAGCATGTGTAGTCATGTTTCATCATGTGCATGTGTGTTTATGTCCATGCATACAATTATGTACAGGAAGTTGGAGCAGGAATATAAAGAGAGTATGACTACTCTGAAGGTAGAGCTAAGTAGAGAGGTGGAGCATGTGCAGCAGCAGGCCAATCAGCAACGAGAAGAGCTTGAACAGAGTATTGGCAAGATGAAAGATGATGAAACCTTCTTACGAGAACACCTTACTCGCACCATTAAAGTAATCAGCATTTTGCATTTGATTTTTTTCTTCTTTTTACTTATGATATGCCTGCTAAATGTTTACATCACATTTCTGTCAACCTGTCATATTGATTCGATTAAATGGTTTGAATTGAAGAGTCTAATTTATGGGTTTGTCTTCAATAACTGTCTTGTAGGAAAATAGTCGCCTGGAGTCAGAGCTTATTGAGACCACAGAAAAACTGGTGGAAGCTGAAAACCAGTTGAACAAAGCGCAGAACAGTCTGGACGATGTTTTGAAAGAGAAGGTACTGAAATCAGCACAGATGCAGACATCAATATTGACATGAGGAGAAACATGCGTAGATTGATAGTGACATCACCAAAGACACCCAACTTTGCTGACATCACATACTCAGGCCTGCTGATATTACAGACGCATCTTTCAGATTACATAGATCAGCATTCCCAATGTCTTGAAAAAGCTGAATATATATATGAAGAGTTCAGATGCAAAAGCCTCTAAGTGCCATTTGAAATTTTCTTCTAAATGATCATTTTTATCAAGCTTGTATATTTAAGTTCCGTAATTTCACTTAAATGGCAATGAAGATTACCTATTAATTGTCATTTAAGTGAAATTACTGAACTTAAATACACAAGCTTGATAAAAATCATCATTAAAGAAGAAAATTTCAAATGGCACTTAGAGGCTTTTGCATCTGAACTCTTCATATATGTATATATATATGAGGTAGTCCTATTGTGATTTCTAGACCAGGAGAAGCCAACTAAATTCTTAGAACTACATGGGCCATTTTGATATATGTTTATGAATATTTATTTTTCTAGGTTAGAAAGGTAACATTTTTCTGAAATGAAAATATAGTAAAAAAAAATAAATAAATTAAAAAAAAATATATATATATATATATATATATATATATATATATATTATTTATTAGGGCTGTGAAACGATTAATCGAGATTAATCGCATCCAAAATAAATAATATTTTATTTATCCAAAATAAAAGTGTGTGTAGTGTGTATAATTATTTTGTATATATATAAATACACAAATATGCATGTATATATTTAAGAAATATTTGCATACTTTATGTATATTTATTCAAAATTAATATTATACATAAATATAAATATTTAATATATTACTTACACATTTTTTTTAAAAATATATACATGCATGTGTGTGTATTTATATATACAAAATAATTATACACACTACACACACATATATTATGTAAACACAAATTTTTATTTTAGATGCGATTAATCATTTCACAGCCCTAATATTTTTTTATATATATATATATATATATATATATATATATATATAAAATTGGAAAGTTTATATTGATATTGGCCACTGATTTAGATGATCCTGTCATTTGTTCTACCATTACTGGTTTATTGTAGTGTTTTGTGGGTTTCTAAATGTTCTTTTTGTTTCTGTGTGTAGTTTGGTGATTTGGATCCAGACAGTGCAGAGTTTTACCAGCAGGAGGAACGTCTCAGACGTCTGCGCAGTAACTATGAGGAGCAGTGCAGGGTCTGTAACCTCTCTGTTTTTGTAATACTTTCCATTTGATTCATTCTATTATTCTGCCTGAAATTCACATCTATATCTGTATGTGTATTATAGGAGCTGCAGGATCGTATAGACGAGCTGGAAGCTCAGCTGGAGGAATATCAGACTTCAGGTCACACACCCTCGACACGTCCCGGATTGAGTCTGTCTGATGAACTGGCCAGCAAGAGTTCAGGTAACACATACATGTGTGCTCATACTCATAGACAACACTGAATGAATGCTTAGAGTTGGATTTCATCTTCTGCCACATGTAACGAGCTGTGCTTGTTGTGTGTATGCACGTGTAGGTTCTCAAGAGCGGCAGCCGTTAAACATGAGTCTTGAGACAGAGATGTTACTGGAGCAGCACCAACAAGAGATAGAAAACATCAGGGCAATGGTGAGACATCAGGGTGACGTGCACACTAAAACTTTTAAAAATATAAGGATTTATCATAAAGTGTATGAAACCAAAGAAGGGGGCATTCATAACATATAAGTTCCGAAAAATTTAAGTTTTAGGTGAACCATACCTTTAAGATTAAATTAAATTCAAAACTGCCCTGGATTGTTCAAAATAAAAGTTGTACTGTCGCCCTCTTATCTCCTCTATAGGTTTATGAAGAAAAACGCAGCGCAGAAGAGGAGAGAAGTCATCTCTCTCTGCAGCACCAACAGGAGGTGCAGGTTTTGAAGGAGGAGATGGCAAGAGAACTAGAGAGAGCCAACAGATTGGAGGAGGACATTTCTGCCCTCCAAACTCTCCACCAGCAGGAGCTTCAGTTTCTCACGCAGGAGGTGCAGGAAGCCAGAAGCCGTGCAGAACAGCTGGAAGCGAAGGTGCGAGTTCTGGAGGAGAAACAGACTGCCCATGAGGAGCAGAGCAGAGTGCATGCTGAGGAGATGAGTTTGATGGAGTCAAAGCACCAAGAGTTGCTGGAGGCAAGTCTGCAGGAGCAGAGAGAGAGACTGCAAGAAGAGAAGGAAAAGGAGGAGATGAGGCTCACGGAACAATGGCAACAAGAGCAGAAGAGCTATGAGGAGGTGCTAAGTGCTCAGCTCGAAGAGATGCAGCAGAGAACAGAACAAGAGCGCGTTGAGCTGGAACAGAGGCTCAGGGAGGAGTGGGAACGAGAGAGGCAGGAGTTAGAGGAGAGCAGTAAGGAGGCTTTGCAGGCTGTGCTGGAAGAGAGAGAACGGAGGCTCAAGGAGGAGTGGGAGCAGGAGAAGCAGGAGCTTGTGGAGATCAGTAAGGAGGCATTGCAGGCTGCGCTGGAGGAGAGCAAACAGAGGAGAGAGGAGTGGGAACGGGAGAAGCAGGAGCTAGAGGAGATCAATAAGGAGGCGCTGCAGGCCGTGCTGGAAGAGAGGTTGGAGAGGGAAAGGAGTCTCAGGCAGCAGTGGGATGAGGAGCGGGCTTCATTAGAGAACAAACATCACGCTCTGCTTCTACAGCGTTTGCAGGAAGAGAGGGAACGGCTCCGAACTCAGCAGGAAGAGAACCAGAGCATTATAATTGAGCATTGGGGGAGAGAGAGGGCTCAGATGGAGAAACAACATGAGGAGGTGCTGCAGGCCTGTTTGGAGCAGGAGAGAGAGAGACTGCAAGTGGAGAGAGAGGAGCAAGAGAGAAGGTGGCAGCAGGTGCTGAATGAAGAGCAGGGCCGGATGGAGGAGGCGCACAGGGAGGCCATGCAGGAGCTTTGTGCCAAACACAGCGAGGAGAGGGAAAGAATCAGCTGCCTTTTGGAGAAACTACGCACAGACATTGCAGGACAGAGGTAAGAGACACACTTGCTGACTGAAAATAACCTTAAAATTTGAATATTTTTACGTTTGAAATAATTCAATTTCGACTGATGCATGTCCTCAAATTGGATATCATTTGGATTTTTCTTAACGAGTATTTGTCAATCTTTAGTACAAGTTCTGTCTTACACTGGATTTCCCATTATGTGCCTCATGCCAGAGTCCTCTATCTGTGAAACGTATTTAATTGAACTCTGGTGGTTTTCATTTTTTGAGGAAATTATTTAAAATATATATATATATAAATTTGTATTAAAGTTTCCTTTTAATTTCACTTTAAGAAGGTTCTTTTTAATAAAATAGGTATAGGTTTTGTATAGGTTTTAATCTTCAATATATTTTATTATATTTCTACCTATTTTATGCTACGGTAGCTGACATGGCATAAATGACAGACAAATATTTTACAAACATTTTCAAGTATATATTTTTTAGTATAACAAAATACACTTATATTAAAGATGCATTCTCTTGAAACAAGTCTTTAGCAGTGTTGTTTCTCAAGTAATAATAGCGCAAATAAATGGAAAATAAATTTATAAATATAGTGGGGGGAATTTGGTCCAAATAAAGAAGAAAACTCCAACCCTGCTATTGGAGGGCTTTTATCCTGCAGAGTTCAGCTCCAAACCCAATCAAACACCCTGAACACCTTGATTTAGTGCTGCGATCCAGTCCAAAATTGCCATGCCCTTCACTCGCTAACTTCTCTCCGTCTCGTTCACTCGGATGTACGTCATTGCTTACGTTGCACGAGTGCCCACTACTGGCGGAAACCGCAATGAGCTGAACTGGAACGTCCTATGCTCTTGATCACTTTGAATCAGCTATGAGTTGATATATTATTTACTTTTTTCCCCTTTACGAATTTGTTTAATGCAGCATCCATCAACATGTATATAGGTGTGTTTGGGTTATTTTAAAATAAATAAATGAATTATAATTAATATATCATAGAGTGTTTGTTGTGGTGGTGATTAGACGATCTGTGGTTACGTCACAATCGTACTGCATTGTGGGATATATAGATGCCTGAAGTGTACATATGAAGTAGACTTGCTCCCTCGGTCTAAATCGGGGGAACGAGTGTCTGTCCATATAAACTTCCCTCGTTCACTTCACGAAGTGGAACGCCCTTCAAAATGGCGGCAGGGATTCCCCCGAGGGGAAGTGCTTAGGGAAGTTCGCAAGTGCGTGTCTAATAGTGGACAGGAACGCAGCCAAGGTCTGGTTCAGGTGTTAATTTACTTTACTGGGCTTAAATTACATGCAGGTGTGGTGAAGCAGGGTTGGGACAGAAGTCTGCTAGAAGTGTTTCCCAACCCTGTTCCTGGAATACCCCCAGAACTTCATTTTAGGCCTTGTCCACAGTAAAACGAGAAGGGGTTGATAATCCGGATTGAGAAACACTGCTCCAGGAGCAGGGTTGGAGACCCCTGATATATAAAGGTATCAAAGTCATGAATCTCAAGCCCATGTGTGATGATGTGCTTTTGGATTTAACCGCACTTAACTTCTCACCTTGAAACATATAAAATCACTGTCTACTATTCTTCATCTCAACTCATTTTAAATGTCCCATATGATATGAGTTGGTGAGAATTTTTTTTAGGTAATGATATAAGCCGTTGATGTTGATTGCCCGTGTGCAGGAGAGAGCTGGAGAAACAATTCTCTCAGCGCCTTGAAGAAATGGAAGTCCGTTTCAATGGTGACCAGGAGGCAATGTCTAAACGTTTTGAGGCAGATGTACATAAACTCGAGCAACATTACCAAAGTGAGATTGCAGCACTTGCCCAACAGCATGCTGCAGACCGCGCCCACTGGGAGGAGTCAGAGGCAGCCACCAAGGAGGCGGAGCAACACTGGCAGCTGTTGAGGGAGGCGCTCAAAACGGAGAACCAATGCCTTGAACTTGCACACGCACAGGATATTAAAGCTCTGATAGACAAGAACCTACAACTTCAGGCTGAACTAGAGGTTTTTGTTAGTGCTGCTCGAACAAAAGAGATTGAGCTGAGCCGTCAACTCAATGAGCTGCACAAGGATAGGGTGGAGGCCAAAGATTTGCTGCTGGCACAAGCAGAGAACAAAGCCATTGAGCTGGAAGAGATGCTGAAACAGGCCGTGGAAGACTTCATCCAGGAGCGAGCGGAGCTTCAATCGAGTTTGTCTGCTTTGGAAAGCAGTCAAGGGGAAGTTCTTTCAATCACTGAGAGCATGGAGCTGAAAGGCACAATCAAGGAGGGCGAGAAGCTCCTATGTCAAGAATTAAAGATTGAGAAAAAGGCTCTGCTTGCAGAGAGAGACACACTGGCATTGAGAGTGTTGCAGTTGGAAGAAATTGTGTTGCAGTTGACAGGAACCACTGGAGAACCTTCTGCAGAACCCTTGGGGGGACCTTGCGTAGAGTCTACTGAAGGAATCCATGCAGAATCTATTGGAGACAACTGTGAAGAAACTTCCAAAGAATCCACAGTACAACCCTTTGGTGAACTCAACCAATACACCTGCACAGAATCTACTGATGAAGTCAGTCCAAAGCACCTCATATGTGAGGAGTCTTCTGTAAACAGAGATAGTGAAGAGGAAGCAGGCGTAATAGATGAAGTTACTGACTCTGGGCTTGGTGATCCACAGCAACACAGATGCCTAGAGATTGGAGTTACAAATGATATAACTTCAATCTCTTGTGTTGATGAATTAGATAGGTCTAATGTAGAATCTAACAATAGTGTAACAGAAACCCCTGATTGTGCCTGTCTTATAGAAGAGAAGGAAAAGACAGAGGAGAATCTCACTAATCCTGGAGTCGATGGTTCTGAAGATGCAGCATTGAACGAAGAGTTGCAGAATACTGGGAGGAATAGTGCAGAGTCTCAAAGAGATGAGACCTTAGAGATGGCCGAGGAGGATATTTTGAATGGTACAGAAATAAAAGCTCAAATCTTGGTTGAGAATGAAGATTCCCATAACCAGGAGAGCTTGCAACACCATGAACCTCCAAGCACAGATGGCACCCTGATCGAATACAATTGCAAACCACTTGAACATGTGATTGAAGACGATCCAGATGTTGGTATCAGCATATCAAGTCTTGAGAATGAAATCAAGGCTTTTGCGTATAAGGTTTGTAGCCCAACCACAGTTGACACAGAACTGGACAAACTTGCGGATTTCAGAGATGTGTGCATACAGGAGATCCTGGATCTTCAAGAAACAGTGATGCAGTACAGTAAAGCTGCCGAAGGCACTAGCTCCCAGTTACAGAGCCCTAAATGGCAGTATCTGGATAAAGAGAATATCAGACATCCAGTCCCAAATCGTTTTGACCAAGTGGAGGACTCAATCAAAGATGTGCAACTTGCTGAGCTAAAGATCTGCTTTGAGCAAAGCATCCAAGAGAATTTGCAGCTTGTGGAGCGCAACAGAAACCTGGAGAAGAGAGTCAAGAGTCTGGAGGGTAAGATGCATGTAGTCCTGGACCTGCACAAGCAGCAGGTGTCTGTCCTGGAAAAGACTGCACAACTTGGAGTGGAGTATTCCAAACTGAAGGTACTTCTCCAGGACTTTGATAACCAGGATAAGCTGGCGGAGTGGGACTCTGATTCTTCCGATACTTCAAACAATTCAAGCAACTCCCAGTTAAAAGAGAAGAATGCTGCTGTAGCAGAGCCTGAATTCTTCTGCATGGAGTTTGAGAAGCAGAACTTGCAACTACGCAGAGAGCTTGCTGATCTGCAGGACAAATCTCTCAGGATCCATGAACAAATGCAAGAACGGAGGTACCATGTGATGGTCCCCTTTTTCCTGCTTTAGTAGAACAGAATCCCCAATTCCCTCATCCCGTTTGCCCCTGCTTCTCAATCACCTCTGAGTGCCTGGGTAGACCCTGCCTTTTTTCCGAGAAAGAGGCTTGACCTCCACCATTAATCTCTCTCACACACTTACAAACTCTGGTGGAGTTGTACTCCAGTATTGTGCCAAAAAAAGATCTGTGTAGCGTAGCTGTTGTATACCAGTTTTGACCCAATCTTTGTCTTAACTATTAAAACATTCCTATGCAAACGTGTGAAGCTTGTAAATTTAACAGACTAAATGAATGACCTAATCCTCAAAACTTATGTTCCATGCAACAAACTGATGCATCATTTTGCTATGCTTGGTCATTGTTGTACTGAATTGAATGTCACCAAGTGGATTTACAATGCCTTCTGTGTTTAGGAGTGAAATTTGTCGTCTGGCTAAAGAGAATATCATTCTGAGGCACAAGATCTCAACGGCGAGGGAGGAGGACCTGAGAGAGAACCAGGATGACCTGCGGTAAGACAGGCGCTCTGCTGTTTTACCTTAAGAGTTCTCAATTTTCAACAAGAGCTGTTGAATGACAACCAATAATGTCTTTCTCCAGATTACAACACATGAAGCAAGGGAAGAGATCAGTTCAAGCTCTCAGGAGACAGGTGAGATTTAACTCCATTACTCAGAAAGTTCAAATTTCATGTTTAAAGCAGCACTATGCAGTTTTAACTGAATAGCTTCGAAGTTATTGCAATGGTTATTTGACTATTTTCGGGTTGAATGTTGCCCCCCCCACCCCTGTTTCTTGTGAGCGGAAAAAACACACTTGCAACTTTCCGGCCGCAGCATCAGGAAGTGTCGCGTGTTATCAGGTCGCGCGATGTAACGAATTGCTTTACGGCAAGAAAGATCTGCTAAAATGAGCATCAAACAGAAATATCACGCCGCCGTATACATGTGATGTTCGAGTCGCATACAGTACAGACTGCAGACAGTTTAACAGGGCGCAGCTCTTAAAGGGGCCACGCCTTATTTCCAGTCGTTACAGCTTCCATCCTACTGAACAGGTACCGGTATACAGAGGAAGGGGATCAGGCCATGAGTGCAGAGGCATCTCTGCGTGAGTGCTATTTACAACAGTGCAAGTACTCCACAGCGACTCTAGGGGTCACAGTTTGACAAAAATGGAAATCCTTCATAGTGGTGCTTTAAACATCATGCAATGAGCCGCACATGTCCACAAACAAACACTCCTAATGTCTTCTTCTCCAGCTTTCAGAGCCTCGTCGCTTGGGACAGCAGCTGGATGAGGAGAATAGTTTATTGCAGCAGAATCCAGATCATGTGCTTCGACATGCGCTCCAGGAAGTAATGCGTCATCATGACAGCTCAACCAATGAGAAGAATGGGGTATGGTTTTAAATGTGTACATTTAATCGTAATATGCTCAGAGTTCGAGTCACCTGAATGTCCATTATATTTATCTTTTTCCTTCATGCCCATGTCATGCTGAATGCACACATACATGCTTGCTTCCAGTTTTGTGATCGAGAGGAGATTGTTTCCAGAACAGAAAAAGACCTGCTTCGATCAGAACTCAATCGGTGCATAGAAAAGGTACAAAAAGCACACACAATGCAAGACCCCCTAATTGCCCATTTTCTCTCGCATCTGACACTTTACTTTACAAATGTTTCCTGGTCTCCTTCAGGTCATGTCACTGGACTCATCTTTACAGACACTCACTCAGCAGAACGTTCGTCTCAAATCTGACCTACGCATCACACAGCAAGAAAGGGATGCCCTCAAACAGGAAGTGATTTCTTTGCACAAAAAATTGCAATATGCCAATGAGAGGGTGAGTATTGAGGACAGGAGTTTCTGTTATTTCATTAGATGAAGATTGGAACAATCTTCCTCTTTCTCCGCATCAGTTGTTGGAGGTTTCCGTTGTGTCTGCTGGTCAGCAGCAGGGTAGGCGTGTGTGGGAGGAGCTTTCTGGGCTGATGGAGGTGGAGCATGCCTCTCTAACTGAGGAGAACCAACAACTCAAGCGGCAGATGAGCGAGATGAGCTCAGAGATGCAGACGTCAAAGGATCAGGTCAGAACATGTTTACTAAACACCTCTAGCAGCCATAGGATGTGTGCAAGAATGCTGATTATGATGTTCTTTTTTAGATCCGCCATATGGAGGCATTAAGTGTGAAACAAAGAGGACTCGTGAAAACTGCAGATCAAGAAAAATCTGCTTTGAAACATGAACTGGAGGCTCTGCACACACAGCTGCTATCAACACGAAACAAGGTTATACACAAGTGTTTTATATAACACACTACACAAACCTCATTGTACAATTAAGCTATAGCCAATCCCAAATGGGTAACCCTACCTCAAACTTTGTTTGAGCCAAAATTGTGTATAAAACTTTTTTTTTAATATGCTGTTTAAACTTTTTAAATGTATGAAACCATTAAAAAAGTCATTTCTACTTAGTATAAACATGTAGTAGAACTACTTTCTATATAGAGGACATATGTGATTTCAGATGCAGCCTGCAGTTAAAAGTTTAAATTCCGCTAATGTAACTGTACCCTATGCACTTGACCATGCTGGCTAATGCAGGTGAGCAAAAATAAAGAAGCTATCGAACACAATCCTTAATTTAAATCTTTCTGATAGTATTCATTTAAATTAAGCAATGACAAAGACTTCACGTACTACTCATGTAACTAAAAAATAATTTTCCTATATTATTCATGTCAACAGTCAGGGAACATAAAGTCATTAATAGCACATTGAGTGGGTTTTCTTTTTTCCTCGTCAAGATTGATTTCAACTCAGTCTGTCGTTTTATCTACCTCTCCATGATTTTATTGAAATTTGACATTTTATTATTGTTTCACTTTGGCTAAATATGCACTGTCCCAGTGACTAAAGTAAATTCATGACTATAAATTATTTGTTTAATTATTATAAAATATACTTTTTCTTGTCAGTAGTTGACTTGATTAATTTAACACTCCTTATCATGTGCTCAAACACACATTTCCTCTCAATAACACACTGATTCTCTGTTGTTTCAGGCTCATCTGTCTGCAGTCTTGCCTTCATCTCCTCTACAGTTTCCGGGGGAACAGAGAGGACAGCACTATAGTGACGGCCCAGACTTCAACATGCAGGTAACACGCTCAGCATCACAGCCAGCATGAGAATTCTCTCGGGTCAGTGCATACTCTGTCACGGTGTACTTGTATGCGTGTGAAGCACTCTCTGAGGAGTATTTAGGGTACGTCTGGTCTCTGAAGTTTCGGGTTTTCTTTGGTCTCTTGGGCTCGTCTGTTGTCTGTTTGTTTGCTTTGTTCTGGAAAACACTCGTCATCCTTTGTATTCACACTCTTTAAGAAGCGTGTGGGCAGCACTGGGTCAGTTTTCTGTGTAGTAGCAGTGTTAGAGGAGCGCCCCCTAGGTTGTTTAAATGAATGGTGTTGGATGCGTCTTTACTAATGGCCTTAAATCCTTTTGAGTTTGTACCCGTCAAAGTCTGTTCTGTCACAGCTGAGAAGTTTGTATATAGCTCTGTGTGTATGTTTCTCTGCAGGTGTAAGAGCTGTTACATCATCACCAACAGACATAGGAGAGTGGCAACCTGTGACATCACCTCCCAATTGAACTCTGACCTTTTCTCTGTGTACCCCAATCACCGAACCCTTCCTGACAGATTTTGTTGTTTTTGTTTGAGGTGTTAAGGCCAATGTCCTCTGTCTGATTTAGAATGGTAGTGATTTACAACTGCCACGAGGTGGCGTCATACTGCATTTGCCCTTGGCTGTGAGTCGTTTCCTCTGTCATCCACATGATGGCACATATATCTGGTAAAACAAGCTAAGATTTTGACATGCCATTAAGGGAAGTTTAATCTGTTTGAATGTATTTTAAGATTTTCAAGCATTTGAAAGAGCAGTATTGGTTTTTTTTTAAGTTTGCACTGTTATGGCATCAGTTTTAACACGATACCGCACTACAGCTGAAATGAATGATTGTTCTGAGATAAATCCAGCTTTTGTATTTTATTTTATTTTCATATTTATTTTATTTAATGAAGACTTAATTCATCACTGTATCTACCTCTACGTTTTTACTGAACATTGTGGCATTTATAATTAATTAATGTTTATTTATTGATTTATTTTATTCGTTGGATTATGTTATGTTGCTTTTCTTGTTTTAAATGTGTTATGTCCATTATTGATGTGAATGTGTGTTTTTTTTTTATATATATATATATATATTAAGTGAGACCAAATAAACTATTAGGTGAAATATTTTGCATAGTGTTTAATTTGATTTATTCTTTAAAATGCGTTACTCTTGATTGTCCGTGACCTCTTTACATCTCCCTAATTTTACACTATTAATATTACTAAAATAGTTTTCATACATTTTAAGTGTTTTCATTGCTCAAAAATCAAAACGGAAAAAACTTAATAATAGATCATTTACAAGTAAGAAAAGGTACAGAGACCATGAAAGGTCAATAACTGTTAATTAAATTAATCTAAGAGCAGTTGTGTCTAGCATAACTAATGCCTGGTTCAGATTACACGATTTTAGCCCGATTTTTGGCACGATCCGTTTGACGTAGGGTGTCGTGGGGATTCGTAAACGACAAAGGGCGTCGGGACGCAAGATTCGATCGTATCATCTTGTATAGTGTGTCATTGTGGGCGTCAACCTACGCCGCATCTGCGATGCTTCACAACATCACGACAAAAAGACTTGCATGTTTAATTTTTTAACGGTAGTCCACAACGGTTCCGTCACATGTATGAGGTTGACCAATAGGACCAAAGAAGCTTTTCCGTACACAACTTTCAAAAATGGTGAAACGAAAGAGAGACGATGTTTACGTTTCTTTCCGGAAGTCACTCGCTACTAGTTTCGCCTTCTCGATGACATCACACGCGCCATTAAAAACGGCATGCGATGACTGGTCAGGAAGCAACGTGTAGTCTGACATGTGTCTTGTCCATGACACGGCAAGATTTTAGGAGCCAAAATCGCGTAATCCGACACAGTGATTATCGTAACAGACAAAAAAAATAGTGTGTTCTGAACCAGGCATAAGGCAACTGATTTTTAGCAGACCAATTGACCTTGTGACTTCTGACCTTGATTTGTATGCCCAGCAGGACGAGCGGGAGGTGGCGCTTTTACAGATGGAGGAAAGAATGAGAGAAGTCGAGGTCATGCTCCGAAACCTCAAACTGTTGCTTCAAGAGAAGGTGTCTCAGCTGAAAGACCAGGTACAGAAATGCACAAACATGCTCCCCTGCCCTTTGACACATTCTTGATAATGCATTTTACTCCAAACTAGAGCCCGACCGATAAAAGATTTTGAAGGCCGATACCGATACAAATATTTGTTGGTTTTAAAATCCGATATTCCGATATATCGGCCGATATTTTTATTTATTTATTAATTTTTTTTTCAGAAACGCGCAACAAAACATTAACAGATTTCCCTAACATTAGTTATTTGTAGTTATGTACAGTATGAGTTTTAACTAAAGTAATATGATAATGCATTTTAAAAAGAAAGTTGTTTCTTTTATTGTCGCAACAGAAAAGAGGAACCAAAGCTCATTAATGTTAACGTTAGTGGTCTTCCACTGTTGATAGCTTTGTGGTTAGCAGGAACGGTGTAGAGTGCCCTTGGGTGGACAAACTATACAACTCTAACACTCATGACATGGTTGAAGTGTGTTTCGTCCGTTTTTATTTTATTTTTGAAATATTCATTTATCGGCCATTATAACTGCCGATACCGATAGTTTGGAAAATGCCTAATAGCGGCCTGCCAATATATCGGTCTGGCTCTACTCTAGTTGAACCGTTCTGTTCTCTCTGCTTCTGTAGTTGATCAGGAACAGTGAGTCCGACGTGTTGATCAAAGACCTGTACGTGGAGAACGCTCAGCTGCTCAAAACCTTGGAGAAAACCGAACAGCGTCAGAAAGTGGCAGAGAAGAAGAACTTCCTGCTAGAAGAGAAAATTTCTAGCCTCAACAAGATCGTCCGTGACCTCGGTCCTTCCCCTTTGACCCCTGCGCCATACCACTTTACACGCTCCTGATTTTACTGTATTACACACAAGCCATTCCAAACAGTCAAGCTACAATAAGGACAACAAATGCAGGTAGTCCATATGACTTGTGCACTATATTCTAAGTCTCCGAAGCCATACGAAAACTTTGTACTGACTGAAATAGAAGTATTTATTTACTGAAAATGTTCCCTCTGCCATACAACTCAAATCTCTTTCCCAATCATTTTCATTTCTGGGTGAACCATTCCTTTAAAGAAAACCATCTCTATTGTAGAACATGTTCCTCATTTAAATAATTCTCGCTCAAGGCATTTGCGAAACAAAGGGGTTAAGCCTGTAACTAGTGTGTTTCTTGGTTATGATAAGGGGGCCAAACGCGCTTGAAGTGGTTGACCAATCACAACACACTGATCCAGCCAACCAATCCGAGCACATTGTGCATTTTTTGTAAGGAGGGGCTTCATAGAAGCAGGAACTAAACAGTGTTACTAACAAAGTGGGAAGAGAGGAGGTGCAACAATGTAAAATAAGTGAAACATTTTCTTTCAAGCATGAAACATATTCTTAGTAGACCCCAAAATCAAAACTTAAGTGCACATGGCTGCTTTATTTTTATTTATTTTTCATTGCTATTAATGATTTGATTTGAATTTATAGCAGTTTCTTTTTACTGAACACTACTGGTATATGTCTGGTGAGTCTCGACCTTAAACTGCAATTGGAAGGTTGTCTTAAGGAATGGTGAAATTCCTTAGACCTAGAGAAGCTTGTCCAACAGCTGAGGCCCCTGTGTTCACACACACACACACACACACACGCTCAGCCGCCTGTCATTACATAGTTTTCAGTGAAATGCAAACAAGGTCAGTGATTCCCTACGTCTTAGAGAAGGAAATTAAAGGGTAAATGTCACTGTTTATTCCTGTTTGTTATTTTATGTCTTTGGGATTGTTTAGTTAATATAAACCTCCTTACTTGAGAATGTGCACCAAAAAAAATAAATAAATAAATATAACATCCAACAACGTTACTTTAGTTGCAGCAGGACTCTTTGCTGTGTATTTATATTGTGTACCTATTTTTCATTTATGAACTGTAATCATGCATTATGAGCACTGTGAATATGAATAATAGGGAATTTATTAAAATATTTATGTGGATTAAAAGAAACTCAGAGCTTGGTGACTTCAGGCTCATGGTAGCCACTGTATAATTTGTGTGTGGAGAAGAAAATTGCTGGTTATGAAGTTTCATTTCAGGCGTCTCTCAACAAATGCCGTTTACAAGCTTTGATGCTGTGGTGGAAAAATGCACAGAGATTTACAGGCATTTAAACATTTTGAAATTGCTTTGAATTTTGTGTCTTTGTGTTTTTTAGCAATGTAACAGCCTTTGGTGAAGTATATAAGCTATGCTATACCACTATTTGTTATGAAAATGACTGTAACTTACTTTTACGTGTTAATTGTATAACACTTGAATGTAAAAAACATAAAAACTTTCTTTTTAGTAAAAAAAAATAGTTTTAGGAAAAATTGTTGTTTGAGTGTTTTGTATGCATAAATATTGCACATTTCTCTTTAGAAATATAGATGTGAAAATTAGAATTTTATAAATATATACAAATTAGTAGCCTACCCAAATCAAGGTTTTTACTCCATACTGTATACAGAATTTTTGTTAAATCCCACAGGAAATAAAGACATAAACAAAGCAGACCTTATATGTGTACCCTGTTCATGGAGAATGCCTACTTATTTTTATAGTAAACGTGTTGAATAAACCATCATATCTGTCCTGCAGCGAAACCATAAAAATGTGAAGGAGAAAAGAAGTTCGGGAGTAAAATATTTCCCACAATGCACTGCACCTCTAAGGACATGCCTTAGGGAAGGTCTGATCTGGGATCAGTCTGCTGCGGGGAGTGAGCGATCTAGAGAGGTGATCTAGGAGCGATTAAAGACGCTTCCACGTTGTGCAAATAATGCTTATAAAAATTATTGTGTGCGTAGTTGAACGGATACTCGTTGCTAATGTTAGCTGTTTTGGGGGTATAAAGTTACTAATAAACCTCTTGAATCTGAAACTAAAGTAAACTGATCTGTAATCAGGCCGTTGGAAGTTAAAGATCCAAACAGCTGATCTGAGATCAGGTGGCGGGGAGGGATCCAGTGAGAGCTGGTCTGGGATCAGGAGGCGATGGTGAGGGTTGGGTGGACACATTCAGCTGATAAAAGTTTTCGTGCTTTTCTCTGGGCGTAATTTGGACAGCGCGCGCGGGGAGCGCTAATTAGTCGTCGAAAAATATTCGTAATGTTCGACTAAACACTGAAAACTACGAAACGTTCGTTAAACGCAAACTCGTTTGTTTTGTGTTGATGTTTACAGATTGTAGCCGTGATGACTCGAAACTAGCTATCGGGCTACGCTCCGAAATGGTCTCGGTTCTGCGTGTCAGTGCGAATCTCGATCCGGATTTCAGGATGAAACCGAAGTCTAATCGGGCCAGAACCGATTCGGATTAACGATGCTCTCCAGAAAGAAGAGTAAAAACGAAGCGTCCAAGCCAGCCGAAGTTCAGGGCAAATATGTGAAGAAAGAAACTTCCCCGCTTCTGAGAAGTGAGTAACTTCTAAGTCAATATGCCTAACAAAACCCTCAAATAAATAAATAGATCTACATTTTTATGTAATGTGGTCATTCGGTGCATGTTGAGCTATGAAACTTTTGACAATTAAACCTAATTGTAAGTATGTTTCATTGCAAATTAATTAAGGTTTTTAATATGAATTACAATATGTAATTTACAGTTAACGTTACATAGCCTATAATACAAATACACGTTTGCATCAATCAAAAGATATGTGCCATCTGCTCATTAATATTATAAGTATTACTTTTTTTGTTTTTACACTATTCTGTCTTTTAATGTTGCGTAGTTATTTAACTCTAAGCCAATGTATCTTGGCATAATTGGGTAAACAGTAGCTCAAGGGACACTTTCAGTATTAACACTCCAAGTTAGCCACAAGTGTGTTTTGCGTAGTATAGCCATAGACTTTGGTGGGGGAAAAATTAGAAATCCAATTATTTTCACTCTTATTTTTGTAAGAATAAAAATTGCTGCTCTGGAGACATGGGAAAATAATTGTAGTCCAGGAAAATTATTTAAATATGTAATATGCTTTTTTAAATAATCTCATTAGAAATATAAGTAGTTGGACTTTAACATTATAAATGCCATAACTTGCATTGGGGATTTAAAAGGCAAAGGAGTCTAGAAATGATAAGTTTCAAGATATTTTCCAACCTGTGCTGTGCACATCTGGAGCAACTTAAATTTGAATCACTTTAGCACTTTTTGTATTCTGGAAAATAGATTCATCTTAAGCATTCTTTACAAATGAAATATTGTTGAGTATGTTTTGATCCACTTACCCTTAGGTTTCTCTTTTTTGCCTCTCCCTTGTTTTTTTCCCCTCCAGATTTAATGCCCTCGTTTATCCGGCATCCAACATTTCTTCGGCGTGAGCCCCCGTTAGTGGATCCAGTTCCGGCGGGGGTATCTGGTGCGGGTCCGTATTCCTCTGGTTCTGTTGGGGATGTTAGCGGCCCCAAGAGTTTCCTGCGCAACGCACCTCCACGGACCCCCCTCGAAATATCCCGTAGGGAGACTCATCGGCTTTCTGCTCCACCACACCTTCATCGCGATTACTCCCCTTCCTCGCCATCCTACATTAGCGATGCTGGTTCGGTGACGGAGAATGGAGATGGCGGCCCGTATTACTATCCTCCAGAGCCGTACTACAATAACCAACCCAGACGAGCCCACAGACAAGACCACTTTAATGAGAGCTACAGGTACTATGAGCACAATGAACTCAACTACCCACGAAACCCAGGACAGCCCCAGACGCCCCAGCCACATAGTCGCCCACCCCCAGGTGAGGAACATGTCATCATGTGTGCATTCAGACTCGCATGCATTATAATAGACTCCTCATGAAATAACAAACATGGCCGTCGCTCTTTACTATAAATACACAGCCGTAAACTGTCTCTATTTATGAGACCATATTATGCTGTTGACTATATGAGACCGGGTTTGCCGGCACACACATCCTGAAAAGTAAGCTAAAGCATTTATGAACCCGCCCTCTCCATGTAAACAAATGGGACTTTTTCAGGCAAACTGAAACTATCAAATTACACTTCAAGAAGAATTTTACACAGTTTTTAATCACACTGATATAAGTTAAGGTGTTCTTTATATAGGTTTGGTTTTAGTTAGTTATTTGATGCTTTAAAACAGGGGTGTGACATCATGATTGACATCTTCTCTGAGTGATGTAGTCATGGAGGCAGCAACAGCCTTTTTTGGGATATGCCTAGTTGTATTTTCCTTATTTTAACAAGCCTTCAGTTGTATTACAATCAGCAGGCATCAGAATTGGAGCAGTCAATCTACTTAAAAAAGTTTTCGGCGCGTGTTCTTGCGATTTGATTCTGCGGGAGTGTGGGCAGGACCTTGATACACCGTGGGTCCACTACACACTCACTACTGTGCAGACTCACTATAGGTTACTGTCTTTGATGTTTCTATATTAATTTGGAGATTAATGATGTGACATTATTAAAATATAAAGGTATATTTTAGATATAAGATATAACTTTAATTTTAGGTTTTAGTAATCGTGATTAATTACAGAAAAAATAAAAAAATGTATTGATTGACAGGACTAATATATATATATATATATATATATATATATTAGGGCTGTGAAACGATTAATCATGATTAATCGTATCCAAAGTAAAAGTTTGTGTTTACATAATATATGTGTGTGTAGTGCATATAATTATTTTGTATATATAAATACACGCATATGCATGTATATATTTAAGAAAAATGTGTTATTAATATATCAAATATATTTATGTATTATATAAATTTTGTATAAATGTATATAAAGTATACATGCAAATATTTCTTAAATATATACATATATGTGTGTATATTTATATCAACATTATGGAATGCTATTAATTCAAATTTAATAAAATAAATTAACATAATTAAATTACTATATTATTTGCATTGTAAGTGTTATTTATATATATATGAAGAGTTCAGATGCAAAAGCCTCTAAATGCCGTTTGAAATTTTCTTCTAAAATGACCATTTTTATCAAGCTTGTATATTTAAGTTCAGTAATTTCACTTAAATGACAATTAATAGGTAATCTTCATTGCCATTTAAGTGAAATTGCTGAACTTAAATATACAAGCTTGATAAAAATGATCATTTTAGAAAAAAATTTCAAATGGCACTTAGAGGCTTTTGCATCTGAACTCTTCATATATATATGTATATATGTCATGGTGTTATACATATATGTGCTAAGAATGTCAGGTGACAGCTGTGCAGAAAAGTATTAGGTTGAATGAATGAACAGAATTATATATTAAAATATTATAATATGCAGCAGAATCAGATGCTTACTTTTGGTTCCTTCAAAAAGATATGCTCATGATTAGAGCTGAGGGATATAGCTAAAATTGTCCTGATATTATATATATATATATATATATATATATATATATTGTTTTGATGCACTACTGTGGAAGAGTTCGTGGTCAGTAACAAGTTAAAATATTTTTTACAATGTAATTTATTCCTGAGATGGCACAGCTTTATTTTCAGCATCATTACTCCAGTCTTCAGTGTCACATGATCCTTCAGAATTCATTCTAATATGCTGATTTGTTGTTCAAGAAACATTTATTTTTATTAACAATATCGGAAACGGTTGTGCAGATAAATATTTTTTGTGGAAACTATATATATACTATATATATATATATAAAATAAACATCAATATTTACCTGCATATATTATTTACTGAAGCGTTTTAATGCAAAACAAATAAGTGAACATTTCTGAATGATGCAAGTCCTTAGCATAGACTCATAGAAATGAATCAAACTTACCAACTCTAAAAGCATTTTGCAACTGAAGAATAAACAAGAGATGAGATAAAGTTTACAATGTGGCTTTGTATTACCAGCAAATTTGTCACAAATATGCATAAATAAATATTTTTGCCAGCCCTACTTACTACATTTTCTACACACTTGTGGCCAATACACACACACTTTCTCGGCTGTCACTCTGGTGCGGTATTTCTCATTCTGTGTGAGATTGAAACAAATGTGGATTTTTCTAGGTTGCCCTTTTCTTCAATGTGTGTGTGTGTGTGTGTGGGCTGAACTTTTGGTAGTCTTCTGGGGGCTGTCATTTTATATTTGACCCTGCAGCTGTGACTTGTTGTTTTCTCCCCAACTCTCTTTAACGTCACCAGTCCTCCTTTGTGTTCAAATTGAAAATAAATGTAAATACTCAAAGAAACATGTTCTGCATGTAGATCTGTAATACTTCACTATGTTTGTGCATTTATAGCAATCGGCCGTGTGCCAGCAAAGTCGGTGGGTAATCTGACTACGATGAGTGGAGAGGAGATGGTTCTTCCTCCAGGCTGGACTGTTGATTGGACGATTCGAGGCCGGAAGTATTACATCGATCACAACACAAACACAACACATTGGAGCCACCCGCTGGAGAGGGAGGGGCTTCCGCCGGGCTGGGAGAGGGTGGAGTCAGCTGAGTTTGGAGTGTATTATGTTGACCACATCAACAAACGTGCCCAATACAGA